CAGGTAGTGTTTCTTATTGTCTTGCACACTTTTTTCTTTATTTTTACATTCAGAAGTCTTTAAAAATTCCATTCATAAGACAATTGTTTATAATAAAATTCTATTCAATCGGTAGACTCATAACGATTGAAAACAATGCTTTTGTTTGAGTTTGGGTTTGACCAATTCATTAAAAAAAAAAAAAAACTAATTAAGACATGCATGTCTGTCAACCTTAAACAATAATCTTTGTCAATTTTATTTTTCAGTCTTTATGATGGTTGATACTTGATCTATCTCTTACTGTTACATCCCCGGGCAACGCCGGGTTCTACTGCTAGTTATATATATATTCTGTATTTAGGCAGCAATCCTTCTTTCATGCAAGTTTCATTAAAAATGACAGACAAGATGCTTTGATTAAGTTTTTTATATAATTTCTCATGTGATCTTAGAATTTTTTTCTTTTCAGTAGATAAATTATACAAAAACTGTCTAAATGTTTTTTTCTGAGCGTTTTCGGCTATATATTTGGCCATTTTCCAAGTTGTATGAACACAGACACAATATGTTTACCGTGTTTTGAAAATGAAACATTATATAAATACATACATACAACAATCTAGTTCTAGTTAACAGAATAATATATATTCCAACCTTTTTTATAGTTTTAAGGTATGTTTATGGGTTAAAGTGCTCAATGTCAGGAATCTTGTGTATGTAATTATAAAAGTAGACATTGAAGTCAGCACTCAGAGGTGATAGATAGCCTGTTTCATGCTAAACACAATCGTCAGGCCATGTGCATTGTGTTTTTTGTTCAACTTTTATATATACAAAATTTTTAAATAATAAAAGTCAATTGCATTTAGCATGAAACAGACTGTCAGCTCTGGGTGTTGATTTCAATGCCAAATATATATATATATATATATATATATATATATATATATATATATATATATACTTTATTTACTTTATATAATATATATATATATTTATTTATTTATTTTATATTATATATATATAATTTACTTTTTTGTATGAATGATTCATTGTAATATAAATTGAACTGCACCACATATTTGATTTAAAAGAACTGATCCAACATGCAAATTTTCGGCATAACAATTGAGACATTACTCTATTCATTGAACAATTTAGTTCATGCCACATTGACTAATAAACTCCTACAACGAAAATTCTCAAATTGCTATATTAGTAAAAAATGCACTCTCTTAAATTTTCAAAAAAATTCTATCTTAGCCTTGCGACTGCACGCTCCAAAAGTTTGTATCCATTATCAATATCACATTTCAAAAAAACGTGTTTTTTTTTTTTTATGTGTTATTGATAACGGATACAAACTTATTTATATATACATACAAACACACACATATACCTGCATGTACATACATATTTGTTTCTCAGGTGTTATAAATAGAGTGCTCAATGCTATATAACAGAGCTCAGAGTTTCATACAGACTTGCAATCTTCAGGTGCTGGATACAACATTGGATATTATGTGCATTCACTAATATTCAATGTTGGATATTATGTGTATTCAACAGTGATAAAATCTTTTGGATTAATAAATAAAAATCCATTACTTCTTTAGAAAATTGGTTTGTTTATGTTTGGATACAAAACAGACCAGATATGAAAAGATTTCGAGAGGTCTATGATGAGAGAAATTTTACTTAATGGCATTATTCGGCCTTGCCTGATCAGCTAAGTTCTCTGTAGCTGAGTCAATTAAATCATGCCAGATCTAACAACAGTCTCCTCTGGCCCTGAGATCACAGGTTCAAATCCTGCCAGAGTGCGAATATTTTTCTTTAATAAGATTTCTCAAATATTTAGGCTGGTAGATGAAAATAAATGTTTAATAAATAAATGGATGGAACATCTACTCAAATTCAAGTATTCACTAAAAATAACATTTAAATTGATTTTATATATATATATATATATATATATATAATTAATAATTATACATACACCTATGTTTACCGTACAACTCACAGTTTCATGGCTTTGCCAATCATTAGGTAGAAAAAGTTACAGTTGTTTTCTTTAAATTTCTGTGTCTCATAGGAGCAATGGTACATTCTGTGTGGATTCAAAGTTTAAGATTATTATAAATATAATATAGTATTGGAATATAAATTCAAAATATAGAATCTTGGTAGAAGGATATTGAAAAATAAACTAACTTAATACGGATATTGATCTGTTAATGTGTATTGAGTCAATGGATAAGATCATTGCTCTATGAACTAAAAATGTTGGTAGTTACCAAATAGTGTGTAGGTAAAAAAAGAATATAAAAATAAACAATAAAAACGAAATAAAAAAAAGAAACGCTATGTTAAAAACGTTCAATGTGTGGATGGTGTAAGGGGGTAACTGAATATGGAAAAAAATAAAATAAAATAAAAATATTAGAGACAGGTCAGTTGGTGTATTATAGAGATGATAGGTTAATTGCTTAAGTCAGCATTGAAATATTTGAGAAGAGACTACCTTTTGTGGTTGCATGTAATCATAGATTCATTACAATTGTTCAGCAGATTATGTTAGTTTTTCTAATAGGCACACATTTATCCTTGTTGAGGTTAAAAGGTTTTGTTATAGTGATGAAACCCCAATTTGTGTAGTTATCTGTCTTAATTTCCCAGAAAAATTATATACACACTCCCCCTCACACACACACACACACACACACACACACATATATATATATATATCCTTACTCTGTCCTGGACATTGAGTTCTCCCTGGATCCTATCCTCTCGGAATTTTTTATTCAAAAAATATACATGTATGTGTATGCACCTATGTATATATATTTATATATTTTGCATATGTATATGTATATTTACCACTTATATTATCTATATATATATATATATATATATATATATATATATATCCAATAATAATCCACACCAGCAATAAAGTATCTCATGATAATCAGAAATATTATAAATATATAACCAGATAATATTATATATATTATTGTTACCCTAAAATAAAAATACCAGCACTTGAAAATTTCATTGGCATGAAATGCAGAGTTGTGCAATCAATGTAAATATTATGTATATTTCTTAATATATATATATACAACATTTATATACACTCCCCCCCCGACACATATATATATATATATATATATATATATATATATATATTTAATGGTGCAATATATATAATATTATAAAGAGGTATTCATACAAAGAATTAATCAGTAAAGTAAATGTAATTAATTGATGTACACTCTTAAAAAAACATCTTTCAGCCTGCAATATATTTATTTTCATCTTGGAGTTACTTGAAATTAAAAAAACATTTTAAAGCCTGATGATGAAAATGTGATGATTTTCAAAAGTACTAGCAGCACCAAAACATCAAATCCATCTTACAATTTTAAACATAAGGATCACATCATTCAATGAATAGTTAGTAAGTTAATGCTCTATTAAATTTCTTAGCATAGAGATTTTTTTGCCAATAATTAAATTAACTTTACTGATTAATTCTTTGTATGGTTACCTCTTTATAACACATATATATATATCTTTATAACATATGTGTGTGTGTGTGTGTGTGTGTGTGTGTGTGTGTGTGTATTATTTTTCTGCTGATCCCAGTAATCTGTTGAGTAGTCATTCTGAGAACAGGATTTATCTCCCTTTTCTTTAAAATATTTTTAGCACTGTCACATCCAATTGAAACCTTTTATACTCTTATTTTCTTCAGTTTTAGAACAATACAATTCCTCCATGATTTTTTTTTTTTTTAATTCAGAACAACTTGTTATATCCTTTTATTATACTAGCAATATAAAAGGCAGCTGGAATAATTTTAATAAAATATGTAAAATATTTTTTCTCAACAAAATAGTACTAAGCTATTTTTGTTCCTACAGATAGCAGCTCTTATTATTTGAATGACACTGTCTTTTTGTTCAGTCAGCAGTAGCTATTCTGATTACAGGATTTATCTCCCCTTTGTCAAAAATACTTTTCATCACTGTCACATCCATGTATAATATTTTATCTTGTTTTTAGAATACAAAACCTTTCTATTATACTGTTTATTTTTAGCTGAGGACAGCTTTTTGCTTTCTTTATTATCCTGACAATGTAAATGCAATATCAACACGGTCAAGCAATGTCATGATCTCTGCAGAAATGGTTGATTTAATCATTCTTCTTTTTTTTTTTTAACAATTTTACCCCAAACAAGGCAATAAATCTGCTAAGACACAAGAGATTACTGAGTGTGAGAGAATATGAGAAGAAAAAGATTATTAATAAGAGAAAATAATAAGAAGGCAGAAGATAGGCGAGATAACAATAGAAAAGATAACAACTGACATTGCATTTAAATTTTTAAAGATCAAAGTTGATTGGGAAGTCAAAATCCGAAAGAGAGTTCAACAAGATAGAAGTGTGAGAATTAAATAGTGTTTATAATTTTTGTTGTCTATTCTCAAGAACAAAGAAAATGCCTCAATTCACTTTCATATGTTTAGGTTTTATTAAAATTCTAATCATTGCTTTTTAAAACAATCGTTTCTGAGGAGTAGTTAAATCCTTATTATTTATCATTTTATAAAATTCAAATTGATTGGCAATTAACCAATGTTTTGCCAACCATTTCAATAAACAATATAATAAATAGTGTAAGTGTTAATTATTTTTATTGCCATTTCTCAAGAGCAAAGAAATTGTATAAATTCACTTTCATGTGTATAGGTTCTATTAAAATTCTAATCATTGCTTTTTAAAACAAGAAACATTACCAAGGAGTGAAAGTAATTAAAATAATAAAGGTGTCAAAGGTAAAACTGTCCTTTTACATTTTTTTTTTTTTGTGGTTACAAAAGTCCAAGATTGTTAATAGTTTAATATTGAATAAGTAAAAATTGACAATAATATACAAGTATCCAAAATAATATGAGTAGAATTTCTTTTATTAATTTCCATTCTTTTTCTTTTTTCTTTCGTAGGCACTCAAAGGCAGAAAGAGATCCCAGCCCACCACCCCCCTACAATTACAGGTAATTAATTATCTTTCCGTTAAACAAAATGCTTTTTTTTTTATAAACTACTTAAGATTTTTAATCTGTATTTGGTTTATTTAATTTTTTGTACGAGAATTAGTACAAGATTCAGATTGCTTAAATTTTTTTATGTTTAGGACTAATAAAAAGAAATTAGTAGAATTCTTGAATACGGTATAAAATAAAGTATTTATAGCAAATTTATTTTTTAATCACTTCACCCCAATGAAGGTGATAAAGTCCCTAAGATGCAAGGGGTTACTGATAACAAAAAAATCTGAGAAAAAAATTATTAAGAAGAACAGGATTCAAGGAGACAGATGATGATTGGCATTACATTTAAAAATTTTGAAGATCAAAGTTGACTAGAAAACAAGAAAAATGCAAATTAAGAAACTGTTATTCTTACATCTAGCAATTTTATCTTCTTCTATGTTCTTCAGCAAGTGGGCAATCATGGCTCTCAACAGCTTCTTATCATTTGTAGCTGTTATGTATACTCAAATTATTATATTTTCTAATATTTTATCACAATGCTTCAACCACTTTGCCTTGCAGCTTTCATCAGGAATCAATGGGACATAGTCTATTAAATAGAGATGCTAGTAAAACCTAACTAGTTACCTAGAGATCATTGGTTCAATTCTTGAGTTAGGTAGTGTAGAAATATGTACACAAAACTCAATGTGAACACAGAATAGCATCTTAAATAAAAAAAATTGATAATGACATTCAGAAATTGCCTCAAAAGGACACTGGATATGACAGATACAGAAATAGTAACAACATACTTCCCCCTGAAACAAACAATGTGTTCCATTTGACATTTCAGGAAGAATGTCAAATGTGACAGACACCAAAAGAAGGTGGAAATATCAACTGCTAAGTATCGATTGATTTATTTGTTTTTACGGCTTATCAACCTTTTGTGGGTTATTTAAAACTGAAACATATTTTGAATTGCAAAAGGTTGCTTACAGTACTGTCCTCAAGTAGTCCCCATCTATGTACTAATCAGGCTTGATACCACTTAACTTAAAGGATGCCAATCGATGTAGATTTTTGTAGTGAAGTTGACTGACTACAACCTGTTGTAAAATTTTTTCTTTATCTGTTTTCCAGGAATAAACATGTAAAGGTGTTTTTTTTTAAATTTACAGAGTTTGGTTATAACTTCTCTTTTATATCTTGCTTAACTCTGATAATCAAACAAGAATAAATAGTTTCAGTATGATTTGACCCTAAGCTGTTTAGTATCAAGGAGGGTTAATTTTTACATTTGAAATGTCTAAAAAAAACTGATCTGGGTTTTACTTTAAAAATGAATTCATTTCTAACAAATTAACATTGAATTTGGAAAAATGTAGAATTTGAAAATAAGGGTGTTTGGATGAAGGATGTCAATTGAGATAGATTTGTGTAATGGAGTTGAGTGACTACAACCTATTGTAAAAATTTTTTCTTTATCTGTCTTCCAGGATTAAAAATGTAAAGGTGTTTTTTAAATTTTCAGTGTTTAGTTATAACTATGTCTATAAATTTTTAGCAGTATTTGTTTCCCTTGGGGTCTGCTATTTTGATATATATGATGATCGTTTTTGCGTGGCTGTTTGATATACATCTGAAATCTTTAAATGCTACCTATATTAATTATTACATTCTGTATGTTAAGAAGTTAATTAAGAAATATGTTAGAAATTAATTCTTTCTTTTGCAGTGTTCGTGATAGCACATGGTCTGAAGTTCCTTTAGAATTAGAGCTAGCAGAGAATGGTGCCATAGGAACAAGTGACCATGAAGCCTCAAGTATTGGAAATTACCAAGAACATCGACAAACAAGAAAGAAACATGGAGGCAGATCTGTAAAAACTGAAGTTCTCTGACCACAAATGCCAGTTTTCTGACCAAAAATCTTTTCCTTTTTTTTTATTTTATTTTTTGCCTTAAAAGAAATTTTTTTCAATCTACCTTCTTTCCGAAGATGTTTTGTCCAATGGCTTATTTAATGCCCACTAATACAATTATTAAAAGTATTTTCAGAAACTAAATATTTGTAACATCTTTGTATCAATGGAGACAGCATTAATCCATAGTACGCTAGTAAAGCATAAACCTTTCACTGTTACACTGCCAGGATAAAATATAATATTTACATTTTAAGAGTCAACCATAAGTCCATATTATTCCAATTGAAACACACAGACACACACACATATATATATATATATATATATATATATATATATAATAGCAATTTGACACATACACACACATATATATAATAGCAATTTGACACATACACACACATATATATAATAGCAATTTGACACACACACACACACACATATATATAATAGCAATTAAGAACAACAAGAGAAAATAATAAAAAGAGGAAGAACAAAAAATAATAAAAAATAATAAAATAATAAGAAAAATAAAATAAAATAATAATAAAAAAAATAATAAAAAGAGGGAGAACAAAAAATTTTTCATTATCGTAAAATGCTAATATCAAAATACAAAACAATTTTTAAAAAAAACTAGCTTAACTGGTTTATCGATCCTGCCTCTTTCACCAGAGCTCCATTGAGGACAAGAAATGTACACAGTAACTAAAATAAACAGTAAAGACTGGATGTGATATAATAAATATATAACAGTTAAAAAATAATTACATTTAAGCCTAACAACCACTCCTTTTGCTTGGAGAAGGATTGCTACTTACACTGTTTACATCATCTAGACTGTTGTCTTCATCTTTTTTGCCATATTCACTACATTTCAGACATTGTACATTCTGGCCTTCTTCAGGATCTGTCTATATTTCTGAAATGAAGTATTGTAACTATTTATACTATTTACATTCTTCAGACTGTTGGTCTCATCTTTGTTATCATATTCACTACGTTTCAGCCACTGTACACTCCAACTTTCTTCAGGTGATATGCGTTGAAATTTTGAACCAAACCCTTTATTTAGTCCATGAGGGTAGATTATTCTAATTTTATGTGTCATGCCTTTGGATATCTTAGTTTCAATTAATTCTCCTTAGTAACTCAACTTTCCAGGTTTTTGTTCCCACTGCTTTGGCCAGGTACTGAACTCACAATAGTTTGTCACTTTTTAGAACACTCAACTGATGCTTTTATCTACTGGGTTATGTGACCATGGCCATGTGTCCTGAAGAAGGCCAGCACATACAATGGCTGAAACAATGTGAATATGGCAATAAAGATGAGGACAACACTTTGAACAATGTAAGTTATGCAAATAGTTACAATGCCTTATCTCAGAAATATAAACAGTGAGATAGGACTTAACTTAAATAGAGTCCAACACTATCAACTGAAATTACAAGTGAATCCTCCTCAGTACCAAGAATCTGTCTTGGTTATAGGACTAGGAATTTCTTTTTGCTACCTTGTTATTTTTCCTCTTGTTGTTTTAACATGTCTGTTTTTATTGCTATTATATATATCTATAATAATAATAATAATAATAATAATAATGGACTCTCCCCCGTCGGTTTCGACGTATGAGGATCTGCCAGCTTATTGATTCAGTTATGAAAGTTTATGCGCTAATCTTAAGTGGCATTTAAGACCCGCTAGTGATTTACAAAGGAGGCCACATATGGAGCAAGTGTGAGGATTGTGAGATGAGATCACTGTTAGATTGGTTGACCTTTTAGATCTTGCTCTCACTTCTTTAAGATGATTCAGACAAGCAGATTGAAAATTGCTGAGTCCACTAAAACACGTTGATCTCCATTCTACCCGCTCCAAAGCTAAGCACTCAAGGGTGTTGTGTGGTATATTGACTGCTGACAAGTTGCCATGGGCGTCCTACATTCCTGTAGCCCTGATCTAACTGGCTGTACATTAGGATCTTGGGTATCCTGTCATCAGACATTCTCAAGACATGACCAGTCCACCATAACCGAGACTGTATGATAAAAGTCTGATTCCTCCAATATTACACCTATTAAACAGGTCTACATTAGATGTCCTATCTTGAAGCTTAACTTCACAGATTGCATGCAGACAGCTTTTATGGAAAAAAATATCTAGCTATATATATATGGTACCTGTATGGAGTCCATGACTCTGAGCCATACAAAAAGGATGGCAAGTACAAATTATATATATATATATATATATATATATATATATATATATATATATATATATATATATATAGTGATATATGTTATATATAATGATTAAGTACAAAAAATAAGATAGTGATTAAAAATCCCAAAATAAAAAACACAAAAGAAAAATAACCAGCTGACCATTCACACAACAAACTAACATTTTTATGTGTCATAGTGTTTTTTGCCTCTTCTAGTAATTGAAATTGATTCCATGAGACATGAGAATGCCTGAATTAAAAACCAGTTGCTTAACTACATACAGAAAAATCCTTGAAAATGAATGAAGTATCATTAAAAAGTACTCAGGGGAAAAAAAATATTAAATAAAATTTAGTATGAATTTTGGCAAATTTACCGATAACACAAAACAACACCTTTGGAAATGTGAAAGAGTTAATAAAAAAAGTCAATAAATACACCTTGTCCATAAATAGAGAATTCTTGCTGCTGAAATACATCTAAAATATATATATATATATATATATATATATATATATATAGGCAGAATATATACATATATTTAGGCAGAATATCTTCATTCAAACATGCTTGGTTGAATAATTATGTCTGTTTACTTTTTTTTTAATCCTGTCAAGTTCACATATCAATTTCTTAGTGTCTATACAAAACTGATCATTTTTTTTTAATTTTACAGCGTTCATGCTCACATATTTTCATAACCTCAATTCTTTTCTTTATATATATATATATGTGTGTGTGTGTGTGCAGTAATAAAATTACAACATATTGTACATATAATGAAGATGTTAACGAATCAGTGGTCGATGTAATGAAACCGAGCAAATAATATATATATATATATATATATATATATATATATATATATATATATATATATATGCAATCTTGGTGCAGAACTCAAATGACTTTTCCGATTAGAAGATTGCATTGTACATGAAACTCAGTCATACTAAAGGTGTGAGATAGTATGTATATTTATGAATATATATATGTATATATTTTTGCTCTGTTTCATTAAGACCTGCACTATATGTGTGATATGTTGTAATTCTATTGCCATATAGCCATATATATATATGTGTGTGTGTGCGTGTGTGTGTTTATGGAAAATTAATAACAAAGTGGAAAACATTTTTCATGTGATGAATTTTGTTCTTTAGGACTTCACTGAACTAAAGTGATGTTAACATTGATATAAATGCCCAAAGGAGGTGTGACACTTTTAAAGTTTTACATCTCAAATTTTTCCCATCCCGAGATACACATATATATATATATATGGTCATATATAGATAAAACATATATAAATAAAATTAACACACATATACAGACTCTTTTCAAGTGTCAAGCCAGAACATAATAAGCTAGAGTAATGTGATTTGCAACAACCAGTTTATGCTCAAAAATCCACAAAAACATTCTATAAATACACACAGTTTTGTCTTTCTTCTTTTAGTTGAACTGATGAAGCCAAAGAAAACATAAGCTAAGCTTTTCTCAGGCAAAACATATCTTTGATTAAAAATCTACCACTTTGTTTCATCATATTCACTTTGTTTCAGATACTATAATATATCCTACTAAGACACATTAAGTTTAGGTGTGAAAGAGTTGATAGGTGTTATTATGTTTTATTAATGTTATTTATATTCTTCATTCTCCTATTGCTATAAACTTGATGAGCTTTCCTCTTAGCATTAAATCTGAAATAATTAGGATATTAAGAGAGTTTTAATTTGTATTTTCTTAGAATTTCTTGATTCTGTCCTTTCCAACATATTTTACCTTAACAATCAACATATTTCCTATATATTGTTGAGGCTTTATTAATACATCCCTGCAAACCCATATTATCTGATCTTGTATATCAAGTAAAAAAAACCAAAACAGAATGTACAATATAATTTACTTATCAAACAGAAACAAACAATACCTTACCTTTCCCCACGACCATGTCTTTGATTGAAAATCTTCCCTTTTTGTCTCATCATTTTCACTTTGTTTCGGATACTATTATATATCCTACAAACAAACACACACACACACACACACACACACACACACACACACACACACACACACACACAAAATGTATATTTGGGCAGCAACCATTCTTTCAAATATTTTTGTTGAATGTGTGTGTGTGTGTTTAATTGAATATGACAAAGAAAATTTGATGAATTTTTTATTTAGTTTTTCTAATATTCTTACATTTTTCTGTTTGGTAGGGGTAAAGGGAATGTAAAAATTGTCTGCAGTGTCTATTGTTCTAAACACTTTCAGACACTTCTTTTTGCCATTCTCAAAGGTTTGTTATTAAGTGTTGTTAATTTCTTTTCATGCTTGGCTCTTTAAGATATAGTTTTTTGATACCTAAATAGTAGTAATGTTTATTCCAAGACTCGTGAAATGAATGTGGCTGGAATTCAAGTTAACATCTTTCTATCTTAGAAAACCTTCAACACACCATTTCCACTGCTGAATAAGGTGAGATTTATACTGGGTGCCAGATGTTTTATGTAAAGGGCCTCTCTCACAGTGAGAGGTCTCCAGTTATGGGACCTATGAAGGATGATTGTGTTATCAACCAGAATCTTCCTTATAGGGTCTTGTAAATTGTGGATGGCTAAATATTATTTTATGGCACTTTGGTCAGATAAGGGACACA